CCGGTCCCCGAGGGAACCACACTGTCGAAAGACGTACTGGAGATCGCTCAGTAGTCCTTCACGTTCAAGGAACGTGCATCGCTTCTTACTGCGTCGCCCAGCATGTGCGAAAAAGATTGACGCCCATATATCACAGAAACAGATTCCCGCCATCGAAAGCGGTGCGGAGCGATTATCTCATTCAGTAAGGGATTCAGCAACCAACATACAATGACAAACCTCATTTTATACCCAATGTTTCCACTAAAATGAAGCGATGCTTTACCAATATCCGTGGTCAAATATAACACTCTAGATGCCAACTTTGATAACAGGATTTGTTTTCGTTAATGGGAACCGGCGATATAGGCCAGGCTTATCCTACTACGAAATTTCCCTATGCGATTAGCCTGGCATTGAACCAGGCAGCGACAGAGCTGCCTATGTGCTTCAGGTGTTGCATAATAAATGTGGATAGTTTGTCGTTTTATCGGTTAGGGCTGTTCGTACCATGTTTATTCCACATATACATCGTACTACTAGGTTTTCCGATCTACAGTGGTCTTATTCTAGGATTCGCTCCGTGTATTTGTGGTAGTAGCTTTGGTATCGTCCGTTCAGTACCACATCCTAGTGAGACCGCATGTGGTTCGTCGCTCCCAGTCATAGGACTTAGGTTACCGGTTTTCATCACTAACTACGGGGTTCATCTCGTCTATTGTTCACCACACAAACAAATGTGCTATAAAAAAACCGGTGCCGACCTGCTAGATAGCGGCATTGTTTCAGATCAGCCTTTGGGTGGTTGTACGATTTGTGTACCTCTTCTGAAGAAACTTGCCTGGTAAATGCCAGGCGAAAAACGCACCATATCATCGACCAATGTTGATCATTATATAGTTCGCATGTTTCACAGTTCTGAGTTCAAACTATGTACCAAAAAAATCACAGTACACTAATCTATATAAAAGTGAAAGTTCGATGATTTGCTTGTGGGTGCGATACCGCTAGGTTACACAGACCAAGGCATGAATTTTATTAGAGAATCCACAACGAAAGCCTTCGGCTAGCCAAAACCTGACCCACAAGATAGCAGTACAGTGCGTGAAACCACGATTCATTGGAGGCTGGTGTCCAGTTAATCGAATCATCAAATCACAATCGAACGAGGTCAAGCATCAACGACGCCCAATTCACCTCGATATCCAATTGAGCCGCTTGGCAGCGATCAGTGAAGCTTGCTTTACTGTATCTCGCTGTACGATGATGATGGTGAGCCGGTGACTCCTGCCACAACCGTGAAGGTGTGGTTACGTGATTCGTACGCCTCTTGTTTGAAAGTTTTTTTTACCAACTCCTTTAAATGAGCTTCCAGTGATTCACTCGCCTATCTGTAGCCCCCGGATGTTGATTTTTCGTCCTCAATTTGGTGGGAAAACACCTCCGCCACGGGAAAGCAATGAATCAGTAGAGGCTATTTGAAACGCCTAGTCGCATAGGAGCATTTCCTGAGGTACAAGAGAAGGGTATCCAGCGTCACCCACGACCTGACTGAGGCTTTTGGAGGTCCGTTGCTCATTGACCACAACGGCCTATACAGTGAACTAAGGTCATTCTTATTCACAGTCATCTCTTTTGTTACACATTTGTGTGATGAATAGCAAAAGGGGCAGACCCATAGTTGAGAAAACCTGCTGTTCAGTGACGACATCGGGCAACTTAATCCTCTGGACTTGGAGTGACGAACCACATAAGGCTCCACTAGTTTAGGCGTGGCATTGAATCGGACGGCACCAAAGGTGCCTACCACCAGTTTTCAGTTTCAGTTTGAACAACCATTAACCATGCACTTTCGTGCGCCGGTTTTGGTTGCTGTCTTTTGACTGCCCATTGGGATGAAGAATAAGAGAAGAAAGGAAAGTTGAAAGTGCCTACCACCAAAATTGCTTGGCGGTGGATAGGCTCGAATATCAGACCAAAGATCCAAAGCATGCCGGTAACAGCGAGTCAACCACTGCACCACTTCCATTCAGCTCGTAGTAATATACAATTTCGCTGTTGTTCGGCTCAATACCAGACCAGTCGCATGGTTTAGGTTATTGTCTCGTCAGCAAAGATTACGCACTTTTGACTAAAGAGTTAGTCTTATACTGTTCACAGCCGGTGAAGTAGAAGGCTTGGCTTCGTGAATGCAGTAGCGCTGTTAGTCCTCCATTCCTCACACTTGGAAAGTTAATTTTCATCACTACTCAGAGCTAACATTCCTGGATTTCGGTTGGATGTATTTAGCTGATGTAGATTTTAACTGTTTCATTTGTAATTGAAAAATCTCATTTCGAAGTACAGACGACAACAGCAGATTTCTTGTTAGTCGTAACTCATTGACCCTGGCGTTGACCCGATCATTAGTCAATTGTACCTCGAGCTTCCTCCCTCTCTCAGTTGAATGGCACCCATCATAATGAGACAAATTAGTGTTCGACATTCCATATGTTGTCTTCTAAAGTTGCTGCTTCTCTTAACCGAGCCATTGATCGCTGCTATTTGGTAGGGTATTAATATAAATGAATGCACATCCAAATAGCGCTTAAAACGCACTTCGTTTTTTTCAAAACAATAAATGATACTTCACTGACTGGACCAAGAATTGTCTTCATTAATGCCCACTAGTGGCTCTCATGCATCTACTCATTATTCTCGTAACATCAGTCTATATAAATTCGCTATCTTCCGCTTGAATGTGCTCTCAACATTCTAATCTTCATTCTGCTATTTTGTGGGCAACCAAAATAGGCGCACGAGAGTGCATGGTTAATGGTTTTAAGGACTGAACTAAACTGGAAAAAGATGGTTTACCGCTGGCTGGCGATCTGACCATTACACAGAACAATAACCGCAACTGATGGTAAGCAGCTTTGCTGTCGTCTGGTTTAATACCAAACCTAACCTTGCGGGACATCACCTGTGGTGCCGTCGTGACATCCGGCTGTCTGTGAAGGGTCGAGTGTATGCTGCAGCAGTTCGGCCAGTCCTGCTCTCCGGTGCAGAGGCTTGGCCTTTACGGGAACAGGATAAAAATAGATTATCGGTGTTCAAACACCGCTGTCTACGTCGCATTGCACGAGTCTGGTGGGGTAACCGGATGAGCAATGCTGGGGTTAGGCATAGAGTTTTAGGCATTCACGGTCGTCCACTGGAGCAAGTAGTTGGCTGTCATAGCTTACGCTGTTTTGGGACATGTGCTACGCATGTCACCAGATAGGTTGCCACGGCGAGCGATGTTTGTCAAGGCTGGTAGTGGTTCTAAAAATATCAAGGGTGGTCAAACAAAGACCTGGCATGAGGGTATGAAAACTCTAATCAGGAGACTAGGTCACAGGCCCAGTTAGGCTCCCTGGCTGGGGACCTCGGGGTGATAGTCACCAATGGTTAGCTACACTGAGTGATATGGCTGGGTGTCGCAAACAGTGGCGCTCATGCATCCACTCATTTCCCTTTCACTGTTCTACATGAATTCTCCATCTTCCGCTTGAATTTGCTTTCAACATCCCAATCTTTTATCCAAATGGGGCACCAAAAGACAGCAACCAAAACCGGCGCACGAAAGTGCAGGGTTAATAGTTGTAAAACTGAACTGAACTGAACTAGAGCGGCCTGCTCCGGAGAGCAAAAAGGTGGTCTTCCAAATGTGTACCTAAGACCACTGCATACTTCACGGTAGCCCACACCGACGAAGGGGCTTTTCTTTGGGAACCCTAACCGGAGCCTTGGACTCACAAGTGTGACCCACAAGGCAGTGGGGCTTAAATCCAACATGGGAGCGTGAACGAAGCACCCGTGTGAGAACTTTTAGAGACCTGTCACGCAAGGCCTTCGGTTTTCGGTTCGCTGTGTGGTTCACTGGTGCGTTGATTATCTGTCCGCTTTTCGGGATCGACCCTAAGCCTCATGCACCCAATGAGAAAAGCGGAACGTGGCCGGGACAGCACTTTATTGATTGGGGTCTGCCCAGCTTTGGTGGGTGGTAGCTGTCCAGTGGAGTGCGAGAACTTCTCCCACCGTCGAGAGTAAGACCCAGGTACCCCGCTCCTACGCCCATCCAACGGGGGGTTTTTTGACCGGTAAATTGCCCCTCACCGTGTTTATTTGCTGGAGTGACCTCACCAGGGGCTGAAGTGGATAGTCAAGGGAAGACAGGAGGTGCCCAAGCAGATGGCCTTAGGAGACCGATCTTCGTCTGGCCTCTACCCGTTGACCTTTCTGGCATGATTGGATCTGCGGCTGAGGAGCCATTCTGTATAACTCGCAGGGTCATTGAGACACACAAGCCATCACACCACGCCAAGGTGCAGTCTCGTGGTGAGAGAGGCTAGACAATGAGATCATAAGAGGAACTGCTAATTCGGCACTCGATCTACGCAGTCCGTTTGTAGCATCGCGATCAGATCACTGCATGCATAAACCTCGGCAACGATTGCCGCTTTTGGAAGACAGGAATTCAGGGTATCCATGTAGGTAGGTTAAACAAGTTGACCTAACAGCACTAAAATCGCCATAAACTCTTGGTGCTTAGACGATCCCAGATACGGTCAAGAAATGCAATTGTCTTCGTTGTAGGAGTGTGATATCTTACTGTTATCTATATGATATTCCACTAGTTCACTTTCCCTCTGTCTGTATACAACCTTGCAGGTAGTTCACTTTTCCTATATTGCTTTCCAGCACACCCACCCTTCTAGATGAGTGTGAAATTGATGAAAAAACGCGCGAGGTGCTTCTGCAGAACATACGTCATCGTCTCACTCCTCAGGCAATGAAAATCCGTGCTAACTTTGAGGTTTCGTGTTTCACGTACGAGGGTATCGATGCAGTTCGGCGAGCATTGAAAGCCGGTTTGGAGCTTACGACAGAAGAACTTCCGATCCGTGTAAGTATTTTCACGCATTCCCGAAATGCTTGTTTTCGTGATTTTTGCGTCTTGGCTCGCCACATGTATTACCAATACGGGTGAAGAGTTCCTCATACCTCGAAGGTCGAAAAATAGAGTTCAAACTGCTTAGTATTCTTGTCTTTCAGGTTGAAATTTAGACTTGAGTTGACTTTTCATTTAGGGGAAATAGTAGATCAGTTATACATTTCATTTCGGCTCCCCTGCTCCGTTGATCACAGGTCATGGAAGCTGTTAGGCCGGATTGGCTTTCTTGTTTTACCGGGTGAGATCGAATGTACATCGCATTACATTCTGTGTACTGATCCTATTCGTGCACCGTTTACTGATAGCTTTATTTCTTATTCGTGTTCCACATCTGTTTTGACCTCGTGCACATTGTAGGCTATTTATTGCTTGACAACTCTGAAGCACAGGAAAAGGGGCAAACCGGATAATTATCGAGCCTGCTGTTCAGTGGAGATGGGAGAATATTCGTCCTGAACACAACTTGTTGATACTGCGCTTGAATATAGAAAAGTGACTAGTCGGAGAGGAAAAAGTCGAGTAATTCAGTGTTTCGTAATTCCACCGTTGTTGAAAAAATGAACGTGGCTGTCCGACGGGGCGACTTAACGCTTGTGATCGAATCGTAAGCAAATGATAGGAGGGAGGGAGCAAATAGACGAGCACAGCAGAGCTTTATCTGTGGGACTAACGTTGGGAAAACGGAAAAGGGGATTATTATGTGGCAGCGGAGGTGTTTTCTCACTAAACTGAGAGGACGAAAAGCCGACATCCGGGGCTATAACTGGGTTGGTGGACCACTGTTAGTTCACCTAGGAGAGTTGGCCAAAGACCCTAATTCAAAACCAACCAAGAGGAGACGCACGAATCACACTCACCCACACCCTCGGTGTGGTAGTGGTCACCGGCTGGATTGGGCATCGAGGTGTATTGGGCACCTTGGACGTTTGACCCCGTCCAAAGGGCGTATGATCTGATCAACTGAACACCGGCCCCCAATGGATTGCGGTTTTCACACCGCCCCACCGCCTTGCGGGTTAAGCTTTGACTAACCAAAGGCTCCGGTCGCGGATTCCTCAAGAAATTTCACCTGCCTTGGCCTGGGCAACCTGGCAGTATTCAGCCCCCAAGCCAATTATGGAGCGTTTTTTTAAATAAAGAATTGTACCATGGTTTGCTTGGCACACGGTCTGTCCTCAGACAAATGTGAACTATAATATATTAGCTGAAGAGTGAATATTCCCTACAGAAAACACCGCCACTAGAAGGCAATGAATAGGGCTTCCTCAGCAGAGGCTATTTGAGACGCTTGGTCGTATGGGAGCATTTCGCGAGGTGCAAGGGAAGAGTGACCAGCCGCAACCCTAGACACCCACCCCCGACCATACCGAGGCTTTCGGAAGCATATAGGAAAAAGGAAACTTATATATCTGGAACTAAGTGAATCAGAGTTGAAATACATATTGGGAGCACAGGAATTACATTTGCGGGAGACCAACATGCAAGAGTTTTTCCGGCATTGGAAAACCTCTACTTTTAGTGCCCTAACCGGTGATGGTACTCAAATCTGAGTTTAATGAAGCGCATGCGGGCAATCGATCGCGATTGATGGTGATAAAAAAACACAGAAGTAGTTGTACGAAAGAGGACAATTAAGAGTGGCGTCCTAGGCGCAGGCTTTGATACGATAGTTTGAGGTAAAATATGGTTGAAAAAAAGAAAGGGGAGGATGAGAGACGCCACGGAACCTTGTTGGACGCTGGAATTTATTGGTATTGCGCCCTTAATGGATAAATCAATACTAACTGGAATCGAACGGCCTCAAGGGAAGCTTCGTATCTCAAGAGTGAAACCCAGAAAGTCCAAACTTGGGAAGTTTCACTGGGAGCCCGTTATGCCTAACTCCATTGAACATCCTGGATGCCACTCGCTATGGTAGTCAGTGGTGAGAAACCATTTGTGTGTATCTTGTATCCAGTGACTATGTGGCAGCAAAAGCCACATTGGCTTTCGCTTAGCAATTCGCGGCGAATTTGTGTTTTAATAACTACTTCCAGAAATTTAGAGAACTGTGATAGTAATTGTACGGATCACAGGATGCTCTTCGTTCGTTGGTGGGAAAAACGTAGACAGATTTCCAACAACTGGGAAACACGTCATTGGAAATAGGTTGAAAACAAATAAAACCGGAGAATAAAGGAAAACCCTGGGGCTGATTTCTTGAGCAAAACGTGGGACGATGGTAAGCCGGGTTTGGGCGGTGGTGGCCAAGTGGTTAGGCCACCAAATTGTGACCGGGGAACCCCGGTCAACTGTTTCGGTTGCCCACACCGATGAAGAGGTTTTTTCTTGGGTAACCCTAACCGGAGCCTTGGACTCACAAGTGTGACCCACAAGGCAGTGGGGCGTAAATCCAACATGGGAGCGTGAACGAAGCACCCGTGTGAGAACTTTTAGAGACCTGTCACGCACGGCCTTTGAAGTTCGGTTCAGTGTGTTGGCTTTTCGGGATCATCCTTTAGCTTAACGCACCCAATGAGACAAGCGGAACGCGGACGGGACGGCAACTTATTGGCTAGGGGCTGTCCAGCTTAGGCGGGCGGTAGCTGTCCAATGAAGTGCGAACACTTCTCCCACCGTCGAGAGTAAGCCCCAGGCACCCTGCTCCTACGTCCATCTAGCGGGTTTTTTTTGACCGGTAAACTGCCCCTCA